ATATGCAGGAAGAAGTGGAGATGGATTGGCCATGCACTGAGAAGGCCGACTGAGGACATCACGCGTCAGGCCCTCGAGTGGAATCCCCATGGGAAGCGACGAGTTGGACGTCCGAGGGTGACATGGAGGAGGTCGTGCGAGGAGGAAATGAGAGCTTCTGGGCTGTCGTGGAACCAGGTTCAAAAGATCTCAGAGAACAGAGGTCACTGGAGGCGTGCTACTGAAGCCCTATGTTCCACTAGGAACCCAAGGGACTAATAATAATAATAATAATAAATAATATTCCCTTGATTGAACCTGTTCAAAGCATGAAGAACTGCCAAATTACCTGGAAATCTGAACACTGAATGAACAAAAGACTTGACTTAGAACTTTGAAAACTCGCACCACCCAGGCAATATTCAGTGGTGACATCAAGACTCAGATGAGGAATATAAGCAACCGATTCTCAACACTTCATTGTTTCTCGAGGGAATGAAACTATGCTGCAAAGAAATTTACTGCTCATCTGACTCCGTCACCACATGAACATTTATTGGCCTTCAGCCTCTGAAATTCCTGGACGGACATGACGGTGGCGAAAACCTGGACAAGCAGTTAATTCTACGAAACCAGCTCACCTAGTGACTCTTAAGGTAACATATTCATAACGGCTTTGCGCGACAGATTTTTCTAGTACTTAATCTGGCAGTGAATGTACCTCCCTGATAATGCTATATGCTTTAAGGTGAATAATATGTCAAACCCACCGCCGTTGGTCCGCAGCTGTTCAACTGCTTACCCCTTTGCACCGCAACGTCTAATTCTGATGGCGCAAATCCATGCCACTGTGAACAGTATTACTTGAAGCGCGGAAAAAACCTGAACGTAGATATTCAATTGGATTCAATGATTAACTGGATACTTACTGATCCTCGATATCGTCAGTGTCACTGAAGCTATGAGCACAAGAAGTTATGGTAAATGGAAGTTTACCTGGCGTAACACGACCCTACAGAGATAAGTTAAACGTGTCTACTACTTGTGACACAGAATTGGAACGTTGCACGAACTTGAAGACACCTATGGCGAAAAATATTACTGAAAATGATCCAAAATGAAATAGCGCGTACACTCTGAAAAGCGATGCTTTCTTTTTCGTTTCACACTTAGTGGAATCTTTTGGTGTTATTGATATTTATTGGCCGACTCTCTGTACCACTGACGATTGCTGAAATTTTGTGGGTTTTTCGACAAATAGCAACGTTTCTATGCTTGTAAACTGGCTCCCCTCGTGTTAAATTCATAATGCGGGGATAAAACATTTATAATTTGTTATTCCCCCAACTGCAAGGACCCTGGACCTTAGAGAGCTACACATTAAGCTATCGTTGCTTTTGGCTGACATCGTATGTACGTTGCTAACTGTGTTGCTTGACAGATCCCTGGGGATCGGGAGGAATCGATAGCCACTTCTGTGTTTAGGGAGAATTACAGGTAAATGAAAATCGACCGCCAGCCACTCAGTTTGATTACTGTTACTGTTGCTATACTGTAGAGGACATTACATGACTAGCCATTAGAGCACTTAATGACGCAATCTCCCGATACTGGAACAGTATACGCCCATGGAGCGACACTCTTTTTTGACAAGCCAAATCCCGACAAGAGAGGACTGGAGATCACGAGCTCTCCACGGCCTTGCGTTTGTGGATTTTGGCGGGGCTTTCGATAAAAAGACCTACCTTTATATCAGCCAATTTCCAACGACACCCGGACCATCGGCATTGCTGTTTACTGAGTTCTTTAAAATTTCTAGTGTTATTCATGATGACCGAGGGTCCCCACTTTTAACGGATTTTGATGAATCAGTTGATTCCAGAACTTAACTCTGGTATAACTGCCATAGTGTACGGTAAAAATGAGTGCTCTGGCAAAGGCCCTCCACATCTTGTATGGCATCTGACAAACTCTTTCCGCTGTTTGTTAGTAGCCCTTTAGTAGCGTTAGTTCCTCAACAAAATGACTCACAAGTTATTATACGCCACTGCTAAAAGATGACCGAGCACTGTATTGCGCCTATATGCAGAGCCATATGCGTGCGTTGGTAGCTCCACTGGGCGCCCAAATGCCTTGATGAAGGTATGTTGAGGATTTGTACCTCGCTTATGTAAGACTTCACTTAGGGCGTTGGACTCCGCCTGAAGGTGAATTCAAGAAAAATTCTGGTCTTCATAGGTATATTCGCAGTAGGGAGCAATACAGGGTGGCCAGCCCATCACCCTTTTTTGACGACCCATGAGGGCTCAAGTCGAATGTCCTCACCTGTCTGGACTGGCCTCCTGAGGGCAGAAAAAAGAGCTAGGCGGCTCTAACAGGGTTGGAATCTCATAAACAAAAGGGAGGAGAGAGTAGAAAACTGATAGATTTTCAGATGGTAAGACCCTAGAAACGAATCCTTCCAAGACCTATATGGGTGAGCACAGCTACACCCCAGACACTGCTAGCACTGGATGTCGATTCCTGAAACCCGCCCAGTAAAACGTCAGGGCTAGGGGTTTTATGCCAAGGATGTAAAACCTGAGGCCGCTACTGTGGTAGAAACATGGCTCACAAGAGACATGGGTTCTGTCTCTCTTCCTTGTGGCTACTGCTACTTCAGGGGTGACAGAATATTAGATCCCAATGGGGGGAACCTACTGAATACCCATAAGGACTCAAACATGAGATGGCTTTACACGGAAGCGAACAGAAGAGGTACATGATAATAAAAAGGCTGCTACGTTAACTTGATGGATCCGGTGCTCACGGCTGACGCTCGGAAACAATTTACTTTAGACGATCACGACGTAGCAAGCGAGAAGGGAGTGGTAGTGGCACGAGGTGTTTACCTCAAGCACTATGGTGAGCGGGTGAAATAAGCGGGTAAGCTTGAGTAAATAAATTAAAGGCTATTCTTCATTCAGTAGAAGTCAATGGTGAACACAAAGCTTACAAAAGACAGAAACTGAAAACCAAGCTTGCCAGGTACTACAAAGTCATCTGATAACTAAATCAAAATAGGGTAATATATCAGAGTCCACGCTGCACAGCGAAAGGCCACGTGTGTCAAAGGAGGCCCCTGTAACGGATGCCTGATATGTGACCTAAATTTACCTCACATTAAATGTATGCAGCTCACATCTCCAGATTCAAGCACCTGCCTTAATGGCGACCTACTTTCATCAATTGTAGAGGGTGCTTCGGCTCAGAACGACATTACAGCAATGCGTCCTGGTCTGTGACATATTTCGTGGCTCCTGGATTTGGATTTTACACACTAAAAAGGGAGGCCAATAACACCCAACACTTACCTCTACTAGGTAACAGCGACCACGTGGTGTTGCTTTTCAAGTTTCCCTCACATGGCTTAGACTACGATTCCATCCCCTCTAGACGGAATGTATGGCGTGTAGACACTCCAGCCTTCGCAGACTGTGTTATCACATTAAACCGGATTGTAGATAACACAACATCTGTGCGCGAAGCTTGGGAAAATTTAGTACAACTTCACCATTTATCTCGTGGTCGACTCCACGCGGACATTCTCACCACTCTCGATGGGTTGATGAAAGTCCCTCAAAACTTCCGAGAGGGAGGAAACGTCCGTTTCACCTACGCTTAGAAATAGACTATGAGGCCTTCTAGACCTTTTGTTACAAGGCTAGGAATGTGTTTGAACCAAATATTACGAGGTTCAGAATAAAATACCATGTGCAACCCGCTATTGAGTGCCAAATTTGTTAAAAATGGTTACTCTGGCACAATAAAAGAAGAATAAAACGCAGGGAAGGACCTCCGTCTCTCTTATCAGCTGCGGATTCTGAAGAGTTGGCTGGGTCTAATCCAGTCTAAACGTCTTCCCAACAATCTGAGTGCATTCTTCTCAGTAGACAAGGACGTTATAACTCCAACCGGTATTCTCGAAAGTGTCCCAACAGTGAGCTCGACGCATGTCACAAGAGAGGTAGTCCGTTGGCTACTGAGCAACCCTAATCCTGGGAAATCTTTTGACCACGATGACTTGCAGTCTTGGCTGCTATCCTTCTTGCGAGACATTTCCTCCAGGTCAGCTGCTGAGCTATTCAGAATATCTTTGAGCCACATAGCCTCCGAGAGACAGGAATAAGTTGCGATCGACCCATTTTAAAAGCCAGGAAGTAATTAGCTTCTGGCAAATTACCGTCTAGTTAGCTTCGCTAATATAACCGTCAGAGTACTCAGTAGGACTTTCGGAGATGCAGTGCTCGGCCACATTGAAAGCCACAGTCTTCTCGAATCTTCACAACATGGGTTTCTCACTGGTTGACTTTGCACCAGGCACCCCACCATGGAAAAAGCGGTATGTGTCAGGTCATGATTACAAGATGCCCGATGTTGTCTTCGCTAACCCCAGTAAGTCCTTCGATGATGTTTCGCACATCGGACTCAAGAAGAAGTTCTCAGGTTTTGTACGTGCTGCTACACTGCAGGTCTGGATCAAAGAACTTTTATGGGATAGAAGACGAGGCGTGAATGTGAGTGGGACAGTATCTAAGTGGCAACCGGTAGGAAGTGGGGTATCGAAAGTACCAGCTTTGGGTTCTCTCTTTTCCTTGCTCTATGTTACTGGACTCCCGAGTGTGGTTAAGTCAATGGTCTTGTTGTGTGCCAACGATATAATCTACAGGCGGATCTGAATGCACTAGTAAACTGGTGCGAACAATGATGCTTAAAAGCTAATTCTAGAGAATATGCAGTTATTGACCATAAAATTCGTCATCAGTATCTGACAGATGAGGAACCACTGCGGAGTGTTCAAGAAATTAATTACCTGAAAGTTATCATCAGCCACAACCCCAAAGTGTTTAAACACTGAGCTGAGGGTGCAGCAAGATGATATCGAATTTTGTGGTCCCTGTGTAGCTTCTTCATTGAATGCGCTCAAGAAGAAGCTGGATCTTTACAGCGAAACCTACAGTAAGGATTAACACTGGCCAAACCTGTTAACATTGTTACCGAATTCTGTTAAGTGAGCGCGAATATTGCAAGTTTCGCTACATGCCCATGTTATTTTGGGAGAATGGTGGATGAGGTACTTAGTTACCTATTCTGCAAGGTTTCTATATTTTCTGGTATTTATTATAAAGTTCCTTTATTGGTCGTTAAATAATTTCGTAGCATGAACCAATATATTTTTCCTGAAGTCACTTTAGCCTCTGCTAGCCTTCATTTTGCAATAGCAAAGGCAATTAAATGAGACTGAAGGCTTGGTGACTGATTAACGAAAGATCATGTAATCGTGTCTTGTCTTTTAATCAGTCTTAGGTGACACTGGCTATGCAAATAGACTACTCCATATTAAACGACCAATTTGTAACGGCCAGCTGGTGTTTCGTTTCCTCTGTTTCATCTTGCCTGTAAGTACTTTGCTGTAGAGGGAGTTGCAGAAGAGGTCGCGTAACTCTGGTGATCGTAGCTCACTCACTCAGCATGGAAACCTGGCAGAGAAAAAATAAGCCGTAAGCGCATGGCTCAGTAACGACTGAGAATGTACTCAAGTTTAATAATAAAAGTATTGATAAATAAAGTGGGTTCTTGACAAAGGTTCAAGAAAACGCAGGGGACGTAGCTTCTTATTCACTCACTTATGGTGTCGAGGATGTAGGTTTGGTGTCACTAAGTTCTATGTTTTCTGTCAGTCGATTTAGCTCAAATGGTTGTTGATGGAATAGAAGCTTTCGCTTAACTGGCTTCCGCGTCTACAGTCCGTGGATCACTACTCCTTTTGGTTGTTAGCCTGTTGTTCAAGTAAAGAAAGGTGAAAAAGTGGCAATTAAAATGTGAAAATTACTTAGTTCTGGGCAGATGCCATACACACATCAAGTGGGTATCCAGTCGGCGTTTAAAAGATTAAGGCGAAGTAGCCTGGATCACATCCTCAGGAAGAGCTTTCCAGGGTTTAACAACTCTTAGGGAATAGAAGTTGTGCCTGACATCCAGCCTGCTATGTTCCAGGCTGAGTTTCTGTGCATGTCCTCTAAGATTAGCGCTGCAGGTAAGATTTAATAAGTGTCGGAGTGGATGGCCAGGCGTGCTCAGAATGCTATAAGTCATCATCAAGTCACCTCTTAGCCTTCTGTATTCCAGTGGATACAGATCCAGCGCAACCAGCCGTTCATCGTGTGTTTTGGACCTGAGTCCTTGAACAGATTTTGTCGAACGCCTCTGGATGCGTTCTAAGCTCAGTTTGTCCTTCTGGAGATAAGGAGGGAAGACGATAGTCCCGATCTCTAGGTGAGGCCGTATGAAGCTGTTGAAAATTTGGTGGAAGCACCTACGATCGAATCGCCCGAAAATTCGTCTTAGAGTTACTAACGCCAAGTTCCCACGAAGTGCGTTTCTGTCACAGTTGGCATAGGATTTTAAGTCCTGAGGGAACAACACTCCCAAATCCTTTTCCGTCAGTGACGCTTCAAGTTCCATGCCGTTGACGCTATATACACCAGATGCATCATGTTTTACGTGTATTACCTTGCATTTCTCAGGATTAAATTCAAGCCCATTGTTGACTGCCCAACTGTGAAGTCGAGTTAAGTCTTCCTGTAGAGAAACACTGTCTTCTTCAGTTTTGATTTCCCTCCAGAGTTTCACGTCATCGGCGAAAAAAGGATTCGGAAGAGACCTGTTGAGGCAAGTCGTTTATGTACATTAGAAAAAGGAGAGGCCCTGGTACTGAACCTTGGGGAACACCACTGGAACATTCTGTTCCTTCAGACACGGAGAAATTCACTCGAAATCAAAATGAATAGCTCCGTAGGTGTGACGACAACCATTCAGCTAGCGGAGGTCGAATCCCGATTAATTTCAATCTATCGATAAGACAGTCGTGGTTAACACGGTCAAACGCCTTAGCAAAGTCTAGGTAGATAACATCGATTCGTCCTGGATGGTCAACACTGCTAGTCTACCCATCTACTGCAGCGGACAAGTTGGCAGTGCAGGAGTACCCCTTTCGAAATCCACGTTGTTGGGGCGCAAAGAAGTTTACCCTTGTGAGGTAATCCCTCAGTCCATCGTATATTAACGATTCCATTACTTTGGAAGGATAGAAGTGTCACCGGTCTGTACTTCCTTGGATTGCCTCCTTGACCCCCTTTGAAGACTGGCGTTATGTGGCCCAGCTTCGAAGAGTCAGATACTATCCCCTGACTCAGAGAACTCTTAAATGACTTACTTTAGGGTTCGGACAAGGTTGAGGCTCCCTCTCGCAGTACCGTCGGGTGGAATTTGTCTGGTCCCTGAGAGGTGCCTCTGGTGAGCAGTAGCAGTTTGCGCTGCACTGGCTCAGCGCTTAGGTCGACCACTGAGAGTCCTACTTTGTTAGTGGTATATTCGTAAGCTCATGAGTGGGTGGATGACGACGAAAAGATTTGCAGATACTGGTTGGCCAAGAGATCAGCTGCTTCAGTGTCGCCATTAGTCAGTCCGTTCGCACCTAGTAGTTGAGTGACTCCCGCTTTAGCCAGCGCAGCGGAATAGACTTCTCGGGTTACACACAAACATGTTTGTGAGCCTGACTTGATGTCACCGCCGATCGGCTCTCAATGCCTTCGTACACATGTTTCTTGTCTGTTGGCATATTTCGTGCCAATCCTTTTGCGTTCAGCCCAGTGGTGTCTTTTTAACTTAAGTAGTTTGCGAGTGTGGTTCCTATTACCTTAGGTAACTTGGGGCACTTCGGCCACGAAAGTGGAACAGACTAAGAGATCAGATGCATGATCTTGTCAAGTATGAATTTCCAATGGGCGTCCATATCTTGCCATGCATGGCTAACTTCCCAATCTGTCTGTTCCAGTGCGGTTAGAAGAGCCGGAGTGTTAAGTCGTCTGAAGTTCTAACGATGTACATCGAAAGGTCTGGTTAGATTGGTTTCGCAAACAAATTGGAAGCCGGTGACAATGTGGTCACTTCTGTCCAAAGGAGGTAGGATTGCTAAGTTGTCAATCAGGAATTCTTCACTTGTGAAGACGCGGTCTATGCGAGATGGGGTTTGAGCCTCCCTAACTCGTGTTACCGTTCTCACACTTTCCGAAAGCCCCAGCCCCCCAGTCAGATGGAAGAATCTGGCTTCAATGGTGTCGTCGCTCCCGCTAAACGTGTGATCTGCAAATTTGACCTTCGATAAGTTAAAGCCGCCTAAAATTAGTGTGTGTGCCCCAGTTTGGGAGAGCAACTGATTGCCTCTAGCGTCTGGTTGTCTTATTGTGAGTCAGCGGACGGTCTCCTGCAAATGACTTCCCCCAAGCGCTTTGTAGTCTTGGAAGCTGTATGGTGCACCAAACGGACTCTTCAAGGCATTCCAGTTCTTGGATATCGATTTGATAGGCCGAGAGAGAGGAGCTGAAGTAAAGTGCTACCCCACCCCCCTATCAGCCTTCCTGCCACTGCGAAACAGCTTGGTATTAGCGATTGCCAGTTCCTGGTTTGACATGTCAGGCGAAGTCCATGACTCAGTAACACCGAAAAGGTGAGCAAAAGTGTCCCTACTTATGTCCCGCAGCTCGTCTGGTTTGTTCGGTAAAGTTTGTGCATTAGTGTAGATGCAGTTTATGCTTTGTACTTGGAATTCAATGCCTGTACCCTCCCTATTTTCCAGTTGGCTGGCTGGATCCTCGGTCATGGGGGCTGGGAATGTGCCTAATTGCTGACTACTAGTGTAGTGTTCCCCCCCATCCCATTTTTGCATCTAAGCAGTCTTCTAGAGGTCCAACTAGTCCCGTTTTTTCTGTTTTGGCTGCAGCTGTTCGTGCTGCCACCTATCAGGCCGCATGCGGACTGCGGATGGCGGGCGATTTCTGTTCGCCCAGAAAGCCTCCAGTGTGGGTGCTGCCGTTTGAGAGGTCGGAAAGACCACTTTGATCAGCCTTGGTCTTGGGTCATCGTCTTTTTGCGCATGCGCGAGACGCTTTGGGTGATTACTTCCTTCAGGTTCATAATATTCTTGAGGAACTTCCACTCGCCAGAATCGTAGTGAATATCCTCGGTGCCCGGGCTCTCTGGTATGCCTTGCACTATTAGGTTTCTTCCTCTGAAGTAGGAGTCACGATTGTCACCCGACAGATTCTTTAGAGCTTTTCTCCCAGAATGTGAGATGTCCGGCAGTATCCTAACTTCCGCTTCAGCTTTTAGCACGTGAGATGCCGAAAGTACATCCTCGACATCCTCTGGGCTGGTAATGTGAACCTCAAGAGACGTGGTTTATCCTTAGTCATTGGGTCGGGGCCGCGAGAGAGCCTAGTTGCAGCTACTGGTTTTATGTGTTCCAGCTTGAGTTTTCTGCATACGTTCTCCCAAAGAACCCTATCATTGTCCTGAAGGCTGTATGGGAGATCAGGGCTGTCTGTCAGGTTCATAACGATCAATTAATCATTCCGGACATTGGTATGTCTTGTCAACTGTTGACGCCCGGCCGTTTTTGTTGGGCTCTCATCTTTTCTCCAGCTTTGCCCCCGTTCGTGGGCAACACGTTTGCTTGTCTGACAAGCTGGTCAGTGACTTGCATGGTCTGATGTCCATTCCACTTTCCTGAGGACCCATGTTTAGCCTCCCTGGTTTCCAGATTTGTTCCCTGGATTTCTCACCTTTCCAGACCCGATGGGTTTGACTGGATTTGAAACTAGCTTGTTATTATTTCGTGCAATGGTTACCCATTCTCCATCTTGACCATCCTTGTTTGGTATGACCGTTTCATTTCGCTCCTCATCTGTCGATGACAAAATCCGAGTGAAGGGCAGTTGATGTTATTGCACCACTGAGGTGCGTCATGTCCTCCGTCAAACCAGACCCTTGCTCTTGTCGAGTGGCTTGAGTACTTTTTCCGCCAGACGGTTTTCTAGCCCCATAACCCTCGTGCTTAGACACTGCTTTTGAGTTTTCCAGCTTCCCCTTTTCATGATCTTTCAGTCTGTTTTTCAATCCCGATAACATGCTGATGATGTTTTCAAGAACATCGTCAAGTGCAGTTCTACACAGGCGACAATGCCACTTGCGGCCGGGCTTACTGAGTTTGGTGTACTCAGTTTGCTTTAGGTCAGTGCAAGCGCTATGGAACCATCCGTTGCACGTGTCACATTCCATACCCGCCTGAACAGGTTAACGACAGCCCTGCCTTCTGCACGTCTGTTTGGCCACCATTTTCGTTGAAAGTATAAAGAGGGTATATATTTAAAAACAAACTGAAAATATAAACTCTGGAGAAGTTTGAAAAAGAGCAGTAACCTAAACGTTATCAGATCAAACCAAAACTGGGACAGAGGTAAAGCCTCGTTATCCTAGTATGGACAAAATTACACATAAAGAAGGGTAAACTTATCAAACTGGAAGCTCAAGAGAATACTCTTACTGAAAACCGGAGCTATCGTCGCGTTAGACACAACAAAAGCTAGATTGCTAAATCACGGTAAGATTACACTTCCTTTCAAAAGCAGCGCGGGAAAGCTGTCTACTAAGATTACCTGTTCCTCTCTTCTCACCAGCCACTGCTCCTGGTGCTCATTGTGAAGACTAGTGTGACGTGTCTTCGATCTACTCTTCTTCAGGCTAACGGGAAGACGTTCCCACGTACCAGCTGATTAATATTAACGTTTTTCAAACCAACTTTTGGAGGTTACTGTTCCTACTGCTTTTTTACAGTGACACTAGATAGTGACATCGAAATGCGAATAATCCTCATTTGATAACAGAAAAACCAGTCTTATGTAATAATTTATTAGCAGCTTCATGCTTTTCTCACCAATACGTGTTCGTAATTTTGCATTCTAGGAGTGCTGGCAATTGTCTCAAAAAATGGCTATTTCTCCCCAGTGATGGCTAATACCGAAGTGACCTACTTATGTTCATTACTAGCTTACTGTTAGCACCAGGTATATCAGACCTTGTCTCCGTAGGTCTACAGATAGTGCTGGTCAAGATCAAGTGACTATCGGGCTAATGCCCCACGAATCAATCACCGCTATCGATTTTTCAGTACAAGGTTCTACATGTATATCGACTAAGTCACCCAGCTTCTAGTCTCAGTAACAATAAGGTTTTGGTGTCCGTCCTTCAACTCACCAAAGTTGAGGGGGCTGTTTCAAAACTGAAAAGAAACAAAGTTGTAGGATCTAACTATTCGCCGCCAAACCCCTGGTAGTTCCATCAAACTGTTTTAGATCAGTGGTGATTAAAGTTAATAAGCAAGGAGACAGATTTTCCTTAGTGACAGTCATTTTGATTACCACTGCACTTAAGATCCTACGGTTTTATGTTTGAACGAATGTGTTAATTGGATTCCCACCTTTCAACATGTATGAGAACGCAAATGCACTCGCTTGCACTTGCCACTAGTTTTTGATGGGAAGGGGGAGTTTAACTTCATCAATCAAGAAAAGTGGGAGTATTTGACTGGTAACGGAAGTATTGTCAAAGTGTATCATGTTAATTTAAAATCATACGACCGTGTGAAGATTTTCATCAAGTTGTCATCTTAGTTGAAAAGCAGGCAATGGATTGGGACTCATTGGTCATTTTATTCATCTAAGAAGTTGCGTCAATTCTACTGAGATGGTCACTGACAAAGCCTCTGCTCAGACTCAACAGTTCCGTTTAGCATTTCCCATCATAAATCATCGCTGGTAACAGCAGAAAATCATACTAATTATTGGGTGAATGTAATGGACTACAGTTCTACCTCGATAGTTCCTTACACAACTCTTGAAGGTGGTAGGCGTGAGGTTAGGACTTCTAGAAATAGTATCTCTCTTACATTGCTCACATATAGTAGATACACTATATGGGATATATTTAGGTCAAGCTTATAGTCCCAGGCAAGGGGAGTGAGCCAATGGAGGGGGTTGTGAACTTTTACTGACTGAAGTGGTCTGACTCTAAGTTGTACTTCTTACCTTGATGTTCATTGTTAGGCGAAGTAGGACTAGGTCTAATGAAATCTAATAGTAACTAGACTAAAACATCTCACCAATTTATGAAACCTGTTGATAAGCTGTGGAAAGTGTAGATTGCCTATCTGCAGCACAAGACAACCTAAATTAGCGATGTATGACTTACCAGCACATCTCATGATATATGCCTTCAAAACTGAATATTTCTGATGTCCTTCATTCATTTATTCTCTGCTGTTGCATACTTTCACCTACTTTATTATCAGTCTTCTATATTTCGTCCCTCTTTGTTTGTTGTCAAACATAACTGATTGATGCACTTCTGCGCAAGTTTATATGCTCATTTATGCATCGTGTATCGAAAAGTATTCAATCTTATTGTTTCACAGTTGTAGCTAGTTCTTGCTTGATTTGAATTCAGGAAACTTGATATGTAGTTCAGTTGAGCACTCCTGAGTAATCACTCTTGTTTGCCTTTTCTTTTTTGACTGAAAATCATGCCAATTACTAGAGCTGATATTTAATCACGAAGTAACATGCCCATGCTTTGCAGTTCGCATACTATTCGTATTTGAGTAAGAAATAACTATTGTATGAAATTTACATCATTTTCGCTGGGTATTGACTTGGATTCTTCATAAACTGTTAAACCGTACCGTTTGAAATATTGATTCTCTTATAAGTTGAACTTTTTGTGCGTTACATTTGACGGAAATGCCTTTTCAGTACAAACTCACGTTTCTCATAGTTGATGTACCGATGGCTTATTGATTTCTTCTGGACGTTTATGTGCTATTCGTGGAAAATACTTGAGTATATTTATGTATTAAGAAAAATTATCTGCTCAGTACTTTGTTTGCCCTAATCTTTCTTTTTGTGTCTTTCTATTACTTTTACTGAATTGTTCGCACTTCTCTAGTGCTCATTTTATTGTCTTACATCTTGATGGGAAGTGTGGCAGCTGGACGCGGTGCGTAATAATGTCAGTTCTCATGTATTTACTGTCTTCTTGTGTTCTTTTCTTTCTATCATAATCGATAAGCTAATTAAAAAATGTCTTATTCTGAGCAATATGAACAATTTCGAATCTTTTTAAGTCTATTCGTATTTCAATTTTTTAGGATTCCGATGATTATGAGGCACTGCCGGATACTAGTCCACTTTCGCAACATATGTTAGCCGGTGCATGCGCAGGTGTGATGGAACATATCGTAATGTATCCTGTAGACAGTGTTAAAGTAAGTCGAGTTTACTTAACATTCATTCATTCATTACAGACTCGGATGCAGTGCCTCAGACCAGTTGGTGGTGGTAATCACCCAGGCTTATTGACTGGCTTATATCGTCTCGTCCTACAGGAAGGAATCTCAAGAACACTTAAAGGTAGTGGTGCAGTGATTTGGGGTGCTGGTCCTGCACATGCTGCTTATTTTGGATGTTATGAAAAAATGAAATCGTACTTAGCAACTGCTCCTGTAGGATCGACTCATGTAAATCATATGATAGCTGGAGCGTGTGCAACTTTATTGCACGATGCTGTCATGACTCCTGCAGATGGTAAGTTACTGTGATGGTAGGGTGTAAGTAGAATAAATCCTTGAATATACTGATATTCGTCATTTTCATAATACTGTATTATCATTTGATTTTTGTGAAGTCATCTGCGCGCCTATTGAGATGTTTCATATAATTGTTAGTTATGGCTTTAAGTACGGCTTCATTCAATTTCCCACCTGTTGTTTTGAACCTATTTTACTTCAGGAAAACAAGTGGGTACAATAAACTTAGAAGATTGAAGATTCTGACCTAGTTGGTGTCTTGGATTTTTCCCCTAACACTTCACTTAGTAAAGGAGTGAGAAAAACTTAGAAAAACGAATAAAATGTTACAGACTAGTAAGATACTACTTCCACAGTGATTCCAAGTCACACAACTCAAATTCTCTAACCAACCGTCTCAGCATTGTTTATCAAACCCTTGTCAAGGAGTTTAGACTACACGTTGCTCGAAATAGTTCACAGACTTCACAATTCGCTACTATGCAATATAAATATTGAGAAACATGCAGCGTAATTCTTATTAAACCAAGTGATTAAATGCGTGGTACATATAAGGAATTAAATATTAGTCACTGAGTCAGACGACCATGGAGTCCATGCTGAAAGTGCGCATTCTCTTCCCTGCAACTCAGACCAGTTACCGGGGTCCTCAGGAATGGATACCAAACCTTAATGTGAATACCATTGACAAAACAAATGCAATACTTCATATTTTTGCAACACGGGTCACAATGAAGTAGTTTAGGGCAAAAGGCTTAGCAAATCGAAGCAGTGGTGTAGTCTTCTGTTTGTCCATCATTCTATTAGTCGTTGAGATATCCGGACTGTCTGCCGTATCGATCAAATTATGCGTTGTTTTACTAGACAACTACTAGAATCCCTTCAGTCCTAGATTCTTCGACACATGCTTATAAAACTAGGTAGATGTCCACTTCCCTGTCCACTTTTTTTTGGCATGTCAAGTATAAATCAACTAACGGGTGTTTATTTTTTTAATGCACTCACTAACCTTGTGCACATTCATGCCGTAGAGAGTGAGATACCTATTGTGTGAGGGCTAATGTTACTTACTACCTGGCTGCCGAAACTTGGGTAGGTGGAGCGGACTTTGAGCCCATGACCCACTGGTTGATAGTCATCTCCCTAAGTCACTGAGTCACATGAAAGTTTATCTGAAACCCTGAGCGAACTGAAATCCCTCAATGACTTGAATCCACATTATCCTGTTGCGAACAAATACTATTTTCTGAAACTTTGACCCGGAAAGTCCAACAGACGAAATACTTTTAATCACACTGTTGTAATAAGTCTAAATTTCCAGGGAGCATATCTTCCACCTGAAAAACTGATCCTCATGGTCACAGTAAATCTTCAATTCACAGGATTGATAACCGCGTTTAGTTTTTTCCTACTTTGTCTTACCTCTTACATACTAGTATCTGTATCAGGATTCAGATATATGGGGTTCCGAAGTTCATTCTTGCATATTTGTCCATGTGTCAGATAGACAGACAATATTAACATAGAACCTCGTATTACTGCATAGTGGTCCAGGTTATCACATTTTATTCCAGTGAATGAGGCCAAAATGTACCAAGATACATGAAAAAGTAATAAAGAAGAAAGCGGTTAAAAGTGGTAGGAAGTATTGAAGATGTAACAAGAAGAAATGAAAAAATACTGAATTCAGTATGGCGATTAAGATGAAAGTAATTTGTGGATACGCTTGAGCCACTGATTTCGATTTTCAGTCTCCAACAACTTGTTTCGGTTTTCGCGTGAACCCCAGCTGAGAAGTTCACATTCCCCTACTCGCCTCAAACCAACAATCGAAACCTACAGTGACTGTCACTTCTCAGTCTGGCCACTTCTAACCTTCTTCCAACCTGAACCTACTTCAGTCAACGTTGTGTGATGGGGCAGACGTTCACTAGGCATGCATCACACATATCCTGTCCATCTGAGCTGATGAAGGTTCACAATCTCTTCTACTGACTTTCCTCTTCTTCCCAGTGCTCTACCCTTGACTTCTACGTTACTGAAGTGGCACCACGGCACATGGCCTCTGCTCCGAAGGCAACAGTGGTTGGACACCTGAAACCTCATGTTCTCTACCTTTAATGGCCACGTTTCACTACCACATAACAGAACAGAGCAAACTACACTACAGTACACTTAACCCTTAGTGGACAATCGGATGTTGCGGTGGCGTCACAGATGGCTTAAGTTGGCAAAAGCCAATTGAGCGTTTTGTATACATGCAGAGATTTCGTCTGCTACTGGCCCATCAGAGCTGGTCCGGCATCCTATGTAAGTGAAGTGGTCAACTTTCCTAACCTTTCAATTCCTATTAGGCAGAGCATCAGTGAAGATCAATCCTGCAGAACCGATTTGCATTTGGTGTTGAGAAATGCATCCCGTATGTTTTCAAATCATCACTGGAGGTGTTCAGAAGACTGCATCTTGGAAGGATTTTCACCTAGCAGGACTGTGTTATCTGCGTACTCCAGATTTATTAAGGACTATCATGCAATGAGGTAAATCCCTGTGAAGTCAAACAACAAGAGGGAGACCTCCACGAGCACGTCTCTGATAAAGTTGGATAATAATGTCGAGAGTGAACATCGTTGACGGGCACCACTCATCGTATACAACTGACTAGATACCTCATCGTAGGCTCTAACACCTATGAGTGTACCAGTACAGAGCCTTCAACAAAGCGATGAACTTACTCGGCATACCTTTTAGTGAGAGACACTGCCATAAAACCTCTGGATGGAAGTAGACGAACGCCACCTCCAGGCTGAGAGATGCACCTAGTGTCGGGCGTCGTTAAGTGTGTTTGGTTTCAAAGATATGACAGAGTGAATATCTGGTCGATACACCCATGATCAGTTGTGGAACCTGTCTGAACTTTCCGGGTTTACTGTTCTCGAGTTCCACTTAGACATTTGGTAACTATGAGACCTAGAATTTGTTACTCTTCATCAAACTGATCCCTATGTGCTTGTCACAAGAGGATTTCTCCCCTTCATGGACTTCGACCAGTCAAAGCTAACATTTCAGCTAGTCTGACCAGTGATCCTTGACCAAAGTCCTTAAACATGTTCAGCGCTAGTCCGTCATTCCCTTCTCTCCTTTCTCATTTCAGAATACTTACAGCTTTCCTGACTTCTGTAAGTGTTAAATGTCCTATCTCGATGTTCCATTCAGGATCTGACTAGATAGCAGGCAACGGAGTAATATCTATATACCGTCCGTCTGTAGCGTATTGCAGATTCGATGGCTAGCGCCCACGGTCTTATAGGTGTAGGCACAACACTAGGGCGGAAAGCTCACTGCTAGACTGGATCCCAGTTCATAGTCGCCTCTGCGCTGTCCGGTTAAACAGCTCAGTGAAAACTAAAAGGAGTAGTGAAACTCGCCGCTGTCTCTTTCTAACCTCTGCTTACACACCCACTGACTGTAGTTCGGATGAAGCGAAGGATGAGTTCTACCGTAAACTGTCTAGCCTCCTCTCGAAAGCCAAACACTCAGATGTGGTTATTGCAGGTGATTTCAATGCACAGGTGGATAGACTGAATGAGGCAGAAAGGCACTTAGGTGGCACTTTCGGAATGCCGGCTAGACGAACAGATAACGGTGATCGTCTACTACAACTGTGCTCAGATAACCGCCTATTTCCAGCTAGCACAAATTTCACACATAAAGAAAGACACTGTCTGACCTGGCGTCCACCAAGTTCAACTCAGCGCTGAACACAGATAGACCACGTTGCCATGAGTTATCGCTGGAGAGGATCAGTGGAAGACTGCCACTCCTTCTGGAGTACGTGTTTGGATAGCGATCACACGTTGGTCCAAGTGCGTATATGCCTGCATCTCAATGAACGTGAGAGAAATTTGGCAACAAAACCACTACGAGTGCTGCTGGACAATGAAAACACCAAAGCCATATTCAGTGAGAAATTGGCTAGGCAGTTATCGGAACAGAACACTATCACTCAGTAGCAACTTGGTGCCATCTCCAGTCCGTTGTAAAAGTAGCACTGAAGACCGTAGCCCAATCCCAAATAGTGACTTAAAAGAACCAGTGGATATCAGCAGCTTCTTCCTAACTAATAGATGCACGTGAACGCCTCCCTGCAGGCTCTGAGTACAATGAAGAGCGAGCGCAGCTTAAAAGTTTATTGAGGAAAAGTGTACGCAATGGCCGCGAACAGTGGTGGGCAGCGAAGGCCAAAGAGATGGGAAAGGCAGCGGCAATTGGTAACGGTAGACAGTTATTTAGACTTACTAAGGAGACTGGGGGGAAAAGGTCAACGACAGCTGGTGAGGCTATAGGGGGAGAAGGACGGATCTTTGATTCACTCGCAGGGGAGACGACTGGAACGATGGGCAGAACACTTCGAGGAGCAGTTTAACTAGCTTCCAGCCACCATTGTATTGCCCACTATCCAGTTGGATCCTGAATGGAACGTTGAGATAGGCGCCCCAACACTAGGAAAAGTATAAAAAGCAGTAGGTAACCTGAAACGAGGAAGGGTAGCAGGATCAGACAGACTAACTCCAGAGGCATACAAAGATGGTGGTCAGGTTAACAGAAGTGTTAACCAGTATATCGGGAATCAAATACGATCCCCTCTGACTGGTCTAAGTCAAAAAAGGCGAGAAGTCCTCTTGTGATAACCACAGAGCAATCAGCCTGATGATCATAGTGTCTAAGATTTTAGGTTCTATAATTCTTCAACGCCTGAGTGGAGCTCAGGAACAGCAAGCCCGAGAAAACTAGGCAGGCTTTAGACCTGGCCGCGGGTGTATCGGCTAAATATTCACGCTGTGCCAGGTTCTGGAACATAGGCACACTTATCGACGGCCAACAACAGCTGTATTTCTCGACCTGAAGGCGGCATTCAACACTGTTGATTGAGAAGTCTTATGGCAATGTCTCTCAATAAAAGGCGTGCCTAGTAAGTACATCACCTTATTGAAGGCTCTC